TTTGTTGTAGTCTTCTCGACATTCCATTTTGTAACTTTTAATTGTCTACGAGTTGTTTGATATTTGTCACACGTGTGAAAAACAGTTGTGAATTGTACAAGAAACACAACTCCGAACATAAAAGAGAGAGGAGCTTGCAGATTTTCGACGTTGCGTGGCGTTGAACGTGATTATGTTTACGTTGAACGTGATTATGTTTACGTAGAAGGAGAGAAGTGGGAGGGGGGGAGGGGCAGTTTGTAAAGAGACACAAACTCGATTCTCTGTATCGCGATGAACAACGAGGGTGAAGATCGCGCGTGTGTTTGTAAAGTTCCGCGCCTCTATCCTCGTTTCTGTATCATCCCAGCTGAAAAAAGTCGACGCCTCGCCGCGCGCGCTGTCACTCTGAGTGAACATGGCGGGGAAGAAACACAATGTCACGTTTACGTCACGCTCGCGAAGACGGGATCGGGGAACAATTGGACACGCGAAGGAACACGGGGATTGCGTTACACGCGAAGTGTATCGCGTTCTTGTCCCGGCATCGCGTGGTATCGTTTTTTACCCTCTTGCACATCCGAGGTTCATCGGGTCTTGCTTGTATATATCGTAGACTGCGGGTTTTCGTGCGTTTATAAACAAGAAAAAAACGCAGTCTAACGACACGTTAATTAACAAATCTGGTGAGATATTTGGTTCCTGCCTACGACTGAATGTAGAAACACGTTTATATTTATACAACGATGAATCATTCGGGGATATGAATTTTTATCTGAGATATTGTCCACTGTCGATCATTTCGGTTTAATATGTCGCGCTCCGTGTTGACCGATTCAAGTGTGTGTTTTGATCCCCTCGAATGATAAGATTCCTCCGGTGTAAATATATATATATACATCATTTCAATATTGATGAAAGCTTGATACATTATTGTTTGCGTGACGAAAAATTTTTCTTCGAACTGAACGAAAAATGTATTGGCAATCTGAATTATCAGGTACTGTTTTTAATAAAGTTTCTTCAGAGTAAATAAATGGTATTTTTGATAAGAACGAATCCGAATGGAAAAGGAATAAGGCGCAAATGTGAGATATCGATGAAACTTAGATATAAACCGAATAATATAACCAAGATTGAAATTCCCGATTTAACGACGCGCATCGTGCCAGAGTGCACGCGTTAAATTTGTGTATATGTGTGTGTGGGTGTGTGTGTATGCTTGTGTGGTATAGCCAGCGGGTTAAAATTGGAATGTAGAGTGAGATTGTGAAATTTATCATCTAAAACTTATACTAGAGTATAAAGCATCCGTTGAGAAAAACCACAAAACATATGTACACGTAGCTTTTGAAAGCGTGTACACATACACACGCATACACATACACATACACACGTACGTATCTCGAACAGGCACATACATTCAAAAACATACAGGCATATTATCTTTAGTAATGTCGGCAAAATCACATATACGGAAAAGATATACATATATTTACCGCTACGCACTATATAAACAAGCCAGTGCTAAGGCTGCATGCTAATTTTACACTAAAGCAAGTAAACATGCCACAGAGAGTACTTTAAACGCGCGTAGTTTATCTGATTTGAAATTTCGTGTCTTGTAAGTTTAATTAATTTTAAAGTACAGGCATACTGAATTAATTGCTTATTTTATAGTTTGCAGTGTAACCAATCGTGTAGCGTATACACATTATATATAAATAAACGTATTCGACAATATTTTCACAAACAAATTCTATCGCGATATTTGTTCAGAATGAAACAAACTGAAAAAGATGGAAGATATAGAGATACGGACACCAATAACGTGAAATTCTCAAAACACGAACGATTTTTTTCTACGTGAATAGCACAATAGGTATTGTCAAGTTCATAGCGCTGGTGCAGATTTCACGATAGTTGGTGAACCAACATGCGACACAAACGTACGCACGAGATATGGGAAACCTGTTTTGTTTGGGCCTCGCCATATGGCGCTTGCGTTGCAATAAATCGCTAGCACTTGCCAAGAGAATTTATTTCAATGCAAGTGACTTTTTTTTTTTTTTATTTATCGTGTCTAAGAAAGTTTTAGCCTCGACGAAATATTTTGAAATTTTGCTAACGCTATAACACAGGAGACACAAACGTCGTAATTATACTGATCAAGTATGAAGTAAGACTGAGGACGTATGTAAAAGCTGTGAGGAATTCAGTGCAAGTACATATTTCACAGAAATTTTCTACCAAATATAAATTACTAGGATAATTATGACACTTACGTTACGTCGTGAAATTTCAAAATGTTTTAGATATAATGTGTACGTCATATATTTTCATGAACCAGCCTGTCAGCTTTTCTTTTCTATTTCTTTTTGTATTTTTCTCCTGTCGTAGAAGAACGCCTGTTCTTGGAAGAGTGAATAAAAGTATTTGTAAAGTGTATAAACGAGAGTATCGATGACAGACAATTGTCCCTGTGGTCAAACTTATTTTTTTCTCTACTTTTTGTCCTCGGTTTTTTTTTTTTTTTTCCTCCTCATCGTTCTCGACTCTACAACTATCATTTATATCGCGTAAATATACCCATAATTTATTCGTTTCATTGTTTATAACGCCTCATACATAAGACATTTTTTTAATTTAAATACTATTCCTCGATAGTCGAGTTCATTCGTGAAATTACTTAGACTGCGGATTTTTATGCATTGAAGAAAAAACTTGATAGTATACAGACGCTCAAAATGCCAAAATAAAATATAATACCTGCTTGTTTAATATATTTAGCAAATGAGACAATTGCCGTTGTTTATATTATGTTCATAAAATTCTGAATTTGAACAAGTATCCACGGTCTATTGATCATGTAATTTGTATTATTTTTGGTTAATTATTGGACCATGGATCTGACTATGCTGCAACAAGAGTGTTTTAAAGAGGATTCTGTCTGAACATGACACGGCTCTTCTACTTAAAGTGTGGCACCATTATAAATGGTGGCGCTAGTGAGCTATCACCGGAACTATAAAGAACATTTCTCAGTATTTATTTAAACAACTTACGTTAATTATAAATATCTGAACTTAATAATGATATGAGTAAAGATTTTTTAAATAACTCAAAACAACAATTGTTATCGCTTATATATATGTGTGTATAAAATGTGCCAATGTGAATATAATAGTAATATGTAGTCGATCACTATATTATCTCAAGCTGTCATCATTTTTTTATCGCTGCTCATTGTAATTGTAACGACAATAAAAATCATATATTGTAAATCATTTTTTCTCACCATTTCATTTCGTACTGCCTCCTCTCGAAGTTTCAAGTTCCTCTAATCGGTAGACATACTTTTTATCCCTTTCTTTTGACATATATATGTATTCGATAATCGAGGTACATAGAAATAATTATTGTATGCCTATTTACACGCAAATTGCGCGTTTCTGTTAAAAATAGATTGCTTTCGTGGATGTATGTATACTTAAATTTTTTAGTAATAAATTTATCAATATTTATTGCATCATGTTAAAACTAAGTTAAACTATTTAAAAACGAAGAGTGTAAATTCCATCTCACAATATTTCATTATATTGTTAATTAATATTTTGCAACGTTTGGAAGTCATTCAATTATTGAATAATCAGTTGTAATTGATTTATTGTTATTTATAAAAATCGCTGTGTATAAATAGTAGTAATTAAAGAGTAATGATATTAAAATGTTCACTGCCAATGTCACATTGAGTGAATAACGTAAGTCGTCCAGTCTGAGAAGTTTAATATAGAGATGGATTAATTGAACAGGGTGCGAGGAACACAGGAGCGAAGCCAATATAAACGGAGAGGAGGGAGCAGAAACCCAGAATACTTTGGTTAAAAATAATCGGCTCTCTTACTGTGGATGGTCAGAAATTTGAGAGCAAGGTCAATCGATAGCAACGCAACTTTTTCTAAACATGTGTATTCCTCAAATTATTTTTAAATATTGTCGAGTCATTTGCGGACTCTGTGAACTCTGAAACGGAACGCGCGAGTAATTTCTTTACCTGTTATACAACGTTTCAATTCCCACGGAAATTTAATTTCGTAAAAAAGAGAAAAATGTTTAATTTCCAACAAGTTTCATTTCAGGTATTCTTAAATAAAACTTTTCAACTGGCTCCACCAACTATTTCACACGGTGTTTATCCTTGTCTGTATGTTAATAAAATAGTTTAAGTAAAATACAGGATTTGATTTCAAGTGTAATAAGTTCTCGTCTAAAATCATGACTAGTGTGTTAAGGTTAGGATACTTGTATCTTACGATTTCAAATTATAAAAAAAAGAAAAGAAAAATCAACTGTCACGATAATATATGTACAATGTAATTTTTAGTCACGTTCGTTATTTGTGCACGCCACGGATCGTTATAAAATTCAAACACGTACGCGATGCGCTCATGAGAATCCACCTGGTGCCAGGAAGAAGCTACGGTTTCCGTTATCGAATCCACCAGCACGAACGAAAAGGAGAAAGGTTTGAGAGAGAGAGAAAGAAGAAAACAAACCTTCGAAGAACATTTTTTGCGATTGGCATGTTGGCAGTGTTGTTAGCTGGTTGTGTGGCTACATTGTATATACGACCGCTATCGGCACTGCAATTATGACGATCGCAGGTCCGCGGCCGTGATCGAAAGCTCAATTTCAAACGATATCATCGTCGAATAATGAGAACGGCGATATTTCAATCATTGTCTTGTAATTAATCCCACATTCAATCGAAAAAAATCGTGCGTTTTATTATACTCGAGGAGATATATCGCAGACTGTTTTACCGACCAATCACTTTATTTATTAAGTTTTATTTTTCATCTCAACTGCGACTTTTCTGACCGGTGATCAGGAGGGGTAAAAAAAAAAGCCAGACGGAAAAGCCAGCAATCGGTTTTCTAAATAAATAATAACGCATGCTTTTTAGCGTGGTGTGTGATTCACGGTGAGAGACTTACATTGGCCGTTTCTCTCTGTTGCAGATCTGCCTACGTATCCTTCGGAGGATTGCTGATGAGGTTACAGGGTGACGCAAACAATCTACACGGTTTCGAGATCGATCAGCACATGTATCTACTGATGAAAAAATTAGCGTTCTAACTGCGCCAGCACACGTCGCAATTATTGATCTAGGAAATGTTTGAATATTAAATGTATATATATATATTCTTTTTTATATATTGGATAGTGTTTACCACTTGTCAATTCAAAATGATTTAAATATGATCAAACTTAATATGATCAACCTTAGAGGTCATTAATGAACTGCACGGAAAAAAATGTACATTGTAATAATTGAGATAAAGGTGAAAAGTTATTCTGTTCTTCGGCTGATTCGTCACTATTATTCATACTTTCCAGCTCATTAATCATTACTTAAGCATTGTTACTGCCACTACGATGTTCAGATACATGCTGATCAATAAACGTATTTTTCCACGTAAGAAAAGAAGTCTTCTAAATGTGAAACGCCCCTGCCTGTCCAAATTTTTCCCATTGGTTAAATTCTTAAAATAAGATGAAGCACAGAAATCGTTCAGCCGAGTTTCTATACAGTAGTAATATTATTATGGTTGTTCTGTGTCTATTAACCAAATTGAGGTAACAAATTTAAATGAGTTGTTCTTATTACCAGTCGAATTAATTTAAAACCAGCTCTTGCAATTGGATTACAAAAATTCGCTATTCAACGTTCCTTTAATTAAAAGCTCTCCTTTAATTAGACATTCAGTTGCTAACGTAACATTTCCAATAGTTACTCGAAAGAGCAAGACAGACTTGCAAGAGAGAATGTTTTGTAGATGCTGCACTTACTGGGCAACGCCATTTTGGAGAACAACGCGGAGTCAAGATTAAATACGTTGGTCCAATTGGATGGCGCGCGGAGTTTTTCAGAGTGTGAGCACGAGAGCGAGAGACGAAAAGAATGTGTAACAGAGACACGTTACAGAAAGGGGGGAATAGCCAAGAACTAATTTATGTAATTAAACTCGCGGTATTCGTGACCTTGTACGGCTGAATGCAAGTCGAGTGTGCGAGAGGCTGGCAGAGCCGAACAATATGGCACAAGTGCACTTGGCGTGGGTTCGTCTCGAGCCACCTCTCCCCTCCCGATACGGTGGTTCGGTGTTGCGTAACACATACATCGCGCTGCAAGATGGCTGCCACTTAATAAGGGTTTGATCCTAAATAGATTGGCCCAATGACATACATATAATTCGCTTTTATCTGGCCGTCCGCACCGCGAAATTGCGCAACACGTGCACGCGCCAGCATCGACCGAGACGGGAATCAATAATTGCGAGCGACAAGTGTCGCCATCGCGATGAAAACAGTCCTTACAGTCGGTAACCTAGACAACTTGGAGATTTATCTGAAAATGGAGACACGGTATATTGAATTCATGTATGTACCTCGTCTCTTCTGCCAAGGGGCAGAATAGACGTGAGAGATTTCGTTTTTCGCGTTTTGAAATATCGATACCCTGAAAAACGATCAGACGTATCTTTTACGTTTTCTTCATTTAATTCATTCGTGGTAAGTAGGTTTGTAAAATTCTTTTTGATTGGATTGTTTACGTTTTACGTTGGTAAACACGGTTAAACATGGTTAAATGTAAAAAAATTCGTAATGATAAAGTAAATTGCGTGAATGAATATAGTACAGATCCTCTATCCAATTGTTGAAACTCAATTAAATAAAGATATTTATTCAAAATTTTACATTAAATTTATTGTGTACACTTTTCATTATGTTTGCCAACAACTTTGGAGTATAGTCTGTGAGAAATTAAAATGTTACATTAAAACTCGTTTTAAAAATACGCGCGTCGCCGCAGGAAGAAAATAGGTGTCGCCATCTAATAGTGCCGTTTCGAACTATTTGGTGGGTGAAATGATGTGCTGCCATCTGTCGGATTTTTCACTTTTTTCTTTTAGTTCCAGTCATATTTGAGAGGGTCTTAGGTGGCAACACTGTCGCTAGACAAAGACCGCAATAGTGAGCAACAAGGACAGAAATATATTTTAGTTCTACCGTTTCACCGCTATGCGACGCTAGCATTTCAGTGTCTATAAATTGAATAAATTTCTTTTGTTCAATTAAAAACTACTTAAAAAAATTAATTTACAAATTTTTGCAATTGCATCTCACGAATTAGACCCTTACCTATCTACCTATACGCCATTTGATTTGTAAAATGCATTTATAAAAATAAAAATTCTCAACAGATCAAAGTACTATTTAGAGATGAATAGATTATTCCAGTAAAAGTGATTCAGTGCACGAATTTCTTCATTTCAAATATTAAGGAAACTATATAATAAATTTATATTCTACAGTTCTTATATTGTATTTAAATAAAATTATATATTATATTATATATTATATTATATTATATAAATTAATGAAGTATTGCTTCACAAAATTCTATACTTTATTTGCGATTGTAAGATATCCTGTTCTCTAATGAGAATTTATTTTCGATTTAAACCATTACTATAATAAGTAACAATAATATGTGCATAATAGTAAAATGCATAAAAATATAATGCATAAAACAGTTAAATCGGATTTAGTCTATCTTTAATTAAGGTATTAATTAATATTCGATTAACAGTTCTGGAAAATGAAATATTTATTTTATTCTTTCAAATTAAAACAACTGATATTTATTCACAACTGTGCGTAAGTCCTGTTACAATAAAATAGTGAAAGCTTTACACTGAATAATATTAAGTAGTATAATATAAATAGGTCTATTTTAGAATTAATTCGAGAATTAATGTATATAGTTATTATAATATTCTTAAAAAATATTAAGTTTTGTAGTGATGATTACCCTCAAACATTGGTCAAACGCAGTACAAACGGCCAGGCCCTGTTTGTCTGGACTCCAATCTAGAGAACTAACAGGTTGTGATGAAATAATAGTGTTCTGTAAAAGAGTTAGATCACCGACGACTCCTTCATTAATGCCATCTGCGTCTACTATCTTCCGCTTCTCTGGATAATTACTACAAACAATTCAACGATGTTAAATAAATCCGTAAAAAAAAAAAAAAAAATACAAGTAAAAATATAGATATAAGATGTATACTATTTCCATAAGCAAAGACTTCCTCCTCCACCACACGTAACAAATATTTCACGATTTTGCGGCAAGTGTCTGACCAACCATACCGTTGAATTATGTGCCTGAAATAATAGGAATCAAGTTGAACAAAGATGTAACTTTTACGCTTCAATCTTACCTTCTCAGTCAAGTAAGCAAATCCTTTTTTAGGATTGTGCGTTTTCAAATCAAACAAGTAAAACTTTGACTCCAGTGTCGTGGCTACTAATTTATTCATTGGAATATCCTTTCTATCAAATTCAATGCTACAAACTCCATTTTTAAGATTACTCTCCCACAGAACAGCCATTGCTTTCAGATCGAACATTTTTACATCTCCATTGTCATAGCCAGCAGCTACAACTCTTTCCTCAGAGTTGTACGAATTTCCAAACGCAACTGTCCAGCAATCCCTACGTTCTTCGCCTTCTTTGGGTTCCATTATAGCAACTGGCCGACCTTTCTGTCTAGGATCCCAGACTTTAACACTTCCATCTCTGGAGCCAGTTACTAATTCTGGTGCACCGCATCCAATACTTTGTCCAGCTACGCCATCAATACTGTTTATAATCTCATTGTGAGCAACAGCAGTATAAATTGGTATCGAAGGATCTTCTAGGTTGTAGATGTTCAATTTACCCTAATAAAGATGATATTAAATTTTCTCTATGTAGGAATACTAAATTGTTAAAGTTCAAGTTTCCTATAATTTCATTCATGTTCAAATGGTAATATATCTTTTGTATTTATATTTTATATTTTCCATTAATACCTGAAAATCACCAGTTGCCAAATATCTGTCTTTCAGACTAGACGCTTTAAAGGTCCCACATTTTATGGGCTGTGATCTTTCGATATCCTTAAGAAGATTCAATTCGCCGCTGGAAACTTCATAGATTTGTATAATACCGCTACCACGTGGACGTGAACCCATAACCACAAATTTTGCACTACACGGGATCCACTTCGAATCGAATAAGGAATAATTCACCGACTTTTCGATATGACAAATTATTTGTGGTTTTTCGAATTTATCCATGCTTTCAAAATTAACAAATCACGGCTTCTAGGTAAAATTTGTGTGATTTTAGAAGTTAGGTCCGAGTATCCATAAACAAACTGGGATACCATCTATCGCGTGTATTTAAAAATAGAAGATTTCAAATATCCCGGCGGAAGATTTTTATTATTTCACAAACATCATGGTATAAAATTTTTATTTAAAAAAAATTAATTTGTTAAATACATACATAGATGCGAAAATTGTTTCATTATTAATTAATGGTGTTAATAATTATGATATATTTTGAGTCATTCATTAGCTTCAGTATCTTCATCTCCTGATATATCAACAACGTTAGTGGCATCAGTACGATCATCTAATTGTTTCTTAAAGAATTCAATGTATTTTAGCAACTGTTTATCAGAAACTGTTATCTGAAAGAGATATAAATATAAATATAAATATAAATATAAAAAATATAAATATAAATTTGTAGCGTATAATGAACAATAATTTGTATGTAAAATATTTACTGTTTCCGTGACTTTGTTAACGGCTTCCTGTAAATTCTTCTTAAACGTATCATCTTCTAAATCTAAATGCAAATCTTTCAAAGATTTAATAAGAGTTTCTTGGTCAATTTTACTGGTTGTATTTAACAATTCTGCCAAAATAGTAAAAACGAGATTATTATGCGCACAGTAGTTTTCTGTTCCAGGTTTACGAAGTTCGTGCCTGGTCAAATTCAATATGAATCTGGATATATCGTAAGGATCAATTTCTTGTAAAGGACTAATATCTGGTGCGTTGCACAAAGTTTGTAAGGTCGGTAGGTATGCTTCTTCTAATAGCATCTGAGCCTCAGGTACAAGCGTGATAAAATGATCGAAGAAACCACTTAGACACTGTCGAAGATAAAAGTCATTATCGTTTACGGGATTATAACATAAAATTAATAATCTTGACAATAAACTTGAGCTGCTGATTCGTCGATGAAGTAATAATTTACAGAGACCTTCTGCAGCAATTGTTCTCAGTTCTTGATTCTATATTTTTAACAGAAATATTGAATATTGTATTATTTGAAATGAATGAATATCAGCATACGTAAAATATATACTTACTGCATTATCTAACAGTCCTGCTAAAATTTTAATAAAGTTACAGTTGCCCCGTTCTGCTTCTGATCTACGTACGGACGACAGAGAAATCTCTGTATCAGTATCCGTAAATAATTTAGTACGAGATTTTTCAGATCTGTTAACAGTATCATTTTCATTTTCTAGTATATCGAAATACTCAAGACCGTATAATAATAAAAGATCGAAGATTCCTTTTAAAGCAGCAATCCAAATATCTAAATTCTCTTGTTCTAAAGAAAATTGTAAAAACAACATCATAATATGTCGTTTGGCTAGTTCTTTATCTAATATACAACAAATACTGACAGTTTTTAGTGCCAATATGTGTACTGTATCACTCGGATGCTAAAAAATGACAATTATAGAAAATATTATAGGAAATGATTTAAAACTAAACAAATTTATATTACTAGATTGCGGATATTTATGCAGATTTACAATCTGTCTAGCGTAATTTAAAAGATCAAATAGTTATTTCTTTAATTACTAAACATTATAATATATAGTTTAGTTTAAATATTTTATATAATTTTGAATGCTATATACACTTCGCAAACTTTTACACCATGAAATTTTCCATAAATACATAAATATCTGCAGTCTATATATTAGATACTTACATCTAAACTATCAAGAGCTATTTGCATAAAACTTTTAAGCGTTGGCGTTAATGCAGTCACAGACTGCATCATCGTACTTATTATAGTTAGACATTTTATCATTGTTGCGGAATCACTCTTTTCCTTGATCTCTTCATTAATTATAGTTTCCGTTTGAGGTTTTTCTGATAATTTTATTATTTCCTCATTTAATTTGTTTATTTGATTTTTTAAATTGTCTGCTTTCAAATACTGTTTATCCTGTATAGCCTGATATTCTTCTTCTTTTAATTCCAATAACTGTACTTTGAGTTTCGCTCTCTAAAAAACATTTTCCATAAAAAAATAATCTTAAATTTTTACAGATATTTAGCTGTAGCATTAATGTGTATGTATTTCAACTTACTTTTACATTAATCTCATGTTGTTGTTCTTCCGTGATTTGTGTTTGTGTCATAACTTCTTTCAAAGGCAATCTAATTTCACTGATTATATTAGCTAAAGTATCCAGTCTAGTATGCACATCGGGTATAACATATTGTAAATGCGCTACTACACATTCAATGATTTTTTCAGTCCAAAAATTGCCCATCAAAGTATTACGTATTAAATCGTTCAAGTTTTTCCTTCCAACTTCATCAGATAAGTCATAAGTTGTTGTTATTTCAAATAATTGTAATAGGATAAATTTATGCATATGATTCACCCATGTTTCAGTTTGTGGCATGGATATTGTCACAAGAAAGTCAGAAATATAATTGCAAAACGTTGATAACTCTGGTAAAATTCTTTCCAGTTCCTCTGTACAAGATTCATTTTGTAGATATTTCACTAAACACCTCCAGTACAGTACAGTTTCACTGGTTAATTTATTCAGTGGAATTAATTTAGTTTCTTTGTCTATTGGCAATTGTTCTAGTAATGTATTTAATGAAGTATTCCTAATCAAATAAAAATTAGACATTTAATATCCCAAACAACATTTAATTGTATATATGTATATGATTGTGTATCAATTAAATGCTTACATAAATAAAGAGTCTAGAGCTAAAACAGCTACATCTGTACCAATTTCAGCATCAAGAGCTTTTATTAGATCAATGAAATCACTCTTGAAATGTCTTAACCACGATGGTAATAAAACATTTTTAACAGTATTTTTAACCATATCAGATCTATCTTTCAAACCATCATTTAGCAATTGATCCCTTTGTGTAATAGTTAAAGATCTTACTGTTATTTTACTAATGAAATCATATGCTGCTTTTCGAACTGTTTCATCCACATCTCTGGTTCTTCTCCGTGCTACTTGCAGAGTACTTTGATTCTTTCCCATGCTCTTTAGTACTGCTTTACGAACCATAGCATTTGGATCTTTGCTGGCATGAAATATATATACTTTTATAACAGGACACTGATCGTCTGTAGGATCTTGAAGTCTTTGTAAAGCAAAAACTGCTTGAGCTCTGATTTTTGGCGATTTATCCATTAACCGCTTCATCATAGATGTAGTAATCTTATCACAGAGAGCATCATCAATAAAAGCCTGATCACCCAAAGAATTTAATAACATGTTCAAAAAGTGGCAAATGCGAAATCTCACTGCGATGTCTTTTGCACAATGATACGTTAAAAGGAAATCAAATAACTTGGCGAGAAATGGACACATCGATTCCTCAGATTCATCAGTGTTTGAATCTGAATATAAACTGGCAGCAAATTTAGCAACAAACTCTAGAGTATTCTCAACTCTTGGATGTCGTTGTGCAAAAATTAGTGGAACCTTGAAATAAGATATGAAAGAGTTCCAAAAATCTGTTTCATCGTTCTAAAATCAAAACAAGAATTATTAGTAATTATAAAATATGCAAATTTAAAAATGTATTACAATTTATTCTTACCCGTTCGTAACATTTCTTTAAATTTTTTATATTACTTGGATGACAAGTCTTATTAAATTGAACATTATAAAATATTTCCTTTATACTGTTACATGTTTTTCGTGTCATGCTTATAAAATAATACGATTACCGCTTTAAATATAAAAATTTCACATGTAGGAACCACCAATATAAAACCCTAGACGAGAACGTTGACAATTCAAATGTATTTTCCTCGTTGGTCGAGATGTTCTCGGCCACGAATCAGAGATCGCAAGACAAGAATAGCAAATTAATGACTTTGAAACTGAGTAGGATAAAAACAACAATATTTAACTTTGCTACAGTGGCGTAGAATTTTTACCTAAAAACATGTTTGAGATGATACAATGTTTACGTATAGCTTGGCAACATTATTCTGATGAAAATGAATATAAACACGACCAGATTGATCTTTTAATTTAAAAAATTAACTTAAACTCACAAATAAGTAACCCAACCTCAATTTCATACGATCACAGAAACGATTGTAATTATAATTCATTATTGAATTAACGAATGAAGATCCTAGCGGGATTTTATAAGCATCCTACGACTATGTTTAGAAGGTAGATGGAGCGAGCGAAGTGTTTATAAACATAACCTCGTATTATTTATACCATTTTTGCTTAAACAAATTATAATTTTACAATTCTTAAGAAATATTACTTTGCATCGATTTAATGAAGTACCTTATATTATAGTTTTTATTATTTCTTATTTGAAATAAAGACAGATGAAATAAATATGTTTTAAATGAATAATATTGTTTTTCATATTACATTTTTGTTAAAAATAGGTATTTACTAACGTTTTTTATATTTTATATATATATATACACACATATATGGATTAAATTAAATTATATTCAAATTTTATTTTTAATAGTGTTTACATCAATAAAGTGAAAAGAATTAATAAAGTAGTCCATTTCATTGATGTTAGATAGATATAAGAAGTGAAATAAAAATGGATGTAAAAGATGATAAGGAAGAGGTAATTTTTTATGAATTTAATGATATAAATAAACAATATAAATAATAAATTTTTACTTTACAGTTACAATTTGAACTGCCACCTATTTGGCCTGACATTAGAACTGAATTAAGGGAATATATAGAATGTTTGGACAATCTTCCAATGTATCATTTAGATAATGCACAATGTTACTGGCCAAGAAAACTTGATATTTTATCCATTTTGAATTGTGACATAGCACCGCTTGGTACCACATTAAAATTTGACCGTGATCCTGTTACTGGAAAGCTTGGGGAAATGCATGAAGTACCTTTAAAGTCAGCAGGTGAAACTGCACGAAATTCTATGTCTATGACTCGTGCACCAGGCCCACCTAGTGATAATATTAGAGGTATTTGATAAGAAAGATTTTATGATAAAATATAACAATATCCCAACAGAGTAAATTAATGTTTATTAAACATATACAAATGTAGGAAATACTAGTAATATTCCCTTTTGGCCTGGTGGTTTTGATGAGCCTGAGATCGTAATGGATTCATCAGTAGAAGAGATTGACTTTGAAAATAATTTAAGAACCTTAGCAAAAGGATTCAGCGCTGGTATAGAATTCAAAAGTGACAATTGTACTCCAAAAGAGAGAACAATGATCAACACAGAACAGATATCATCAGAATCAAAGATAAATGAAATTGAAAGGATAGCAGACAAGATTAATCTAATGTCCATAATAAAGGAAGAGCAAGATGAATTTAATTTTTGGAAGACAGAAACAAAGGAAAAAAAAGAAGAAAGAAGAACCAAAACTTCAGATATTCAGCAAGCTGCATTGGATGAAATTGCTACATTGTTAGAAGAAACAGATATTCCTATTTTAAATATCTCGGAAAAACGTGAAGAAACTACCAAATCAGAATGGGCAGAACAATTAGATGTGTCTGTTCCAATAACTGATTTTGAAAAACGTATTCCTGAATTAGCAATGAGTTTTCCATACGAGTTAGATACTTTTCAGAAACAAGCTATTCTTAAATTGGAAGAAGGATGTAATGTGTTTGTTGCTGCACATACATCGGCTGGAAAAACAACAGTAGCGGAATATGCTATTGCATTAAGCCAGAAACACATGACAAAGTAAACTTCTGAATTGTACATATATTGAATTATATCAGTGTTAATGAGTAATAGTTAATTTTGTTTTTTTTAGAGTTATTTATACTTCTCCTATAAAAGCGCTTTCAAACCAAAAATATCGCGATCTTAAAAGAAAGTTTGATAGTGTGGGACTATTAACAGGAGATTTGCAAATTAATTCAAATGCTTCTTGCCTTATAATAACCACAGAAATTTTACAGTCTATGTTATATTGTGCATCAGAAGTATTGAGGGATTTGGAATTTGTTATATTTGACGAAGTGCATTACATCAATAACGACGAAGTAAATAAAAAAATTTTAGTGTTACAATGTTATATTAAAAATTGATCATGATGTATCTTATTGTCTTATGTTATATTAGCGTGGTCATGTTTGGGAAGAAAGTGTGATACTTTTGCCACAAACAGTTACTCTAGTAATGTTGTCTGCAACTGTGCCCAATCCTCTAATATTTGCTGATTGGGTTGGTCGAACAAAAAAGAAAAAAACGTATGTAATAAGCACTTTAAAACGACCTGTACCACTGCAACATTATTTATATACTGGAACTGACGGTAAAACAAAGGATAACAAATTTTTAGTATTAGACGAGAGTGGTCAATTCTTTTTAGATGGGTAATCACTGATTTTTAAATCTTTAATTTGATATATAAATTTTTAATTAATAATTTTGTGTCGTTATTTTAGATGGTATAAAGCAACAAGTATGCAAAATCCGAAAAATCAAAATAATAAAAATGTTGTTAAAAGACTACATGTACAACGACAGATGACTCCAAAACAGGAACAAGTATTATGGAATGCTTTCATAAGTCACTTAAAAACCCAAGTACATTGAATTTACTAATTTACATTGATTAAATATTAATTGTTTGTTCAAATATATGTAAATAATTATTTTTGTTGTTCCAGAACATGTTGCCTGTTGTTGTTTTTATGTTATCACGGAAGCGTTGCGATATGAGCGCTGTACTATTGAGAAACGTTGATCTTACAACTGAAACTGAAAAGCACACTATTCGAACTTTCTTTCAAAATAATATTCGGCATTTAAAAGGCACGGACAGAGAATTGCCACAAGTACTTATGATGCAAGAATTATTAGAAGGTGGGATTGGTATCCACCACAGTGGCATATTACCTATTTTGAAAGAAATAGTAGAAATGCTATTCCAAACTGGAGTTGTAAAAGTCAGTTTTCCAATATATTTCTCAGTATATTTTTCTAATAAATTTCATGACATATTTAATCTTTTTAAGTTTCAATTGTTACATTTATGTTGTTACAGTTACTATTTGCAACAGAAACATTTGCAATGGGCGTGAATATGCCAGCACGCACTGTAGTCTTCGATTCTATAACAAAATATGATGGTACTAATTTCCGGATACTTTATCCTTCTGAATACGTACAAATGGCTGGTCGAGCTGGACGTAGAGGTCATGATACCGCTGGAATGGTTATAGTCATGTGTCGAACATCTGTGCCACATTTTAATGAATTAAAAAATATGATGTGTGGACAAGCTCAGAACTTAGAATCTAAGTTTAAAGTAACATATTCCATGGTTTTAAATCTGAGGAGGCTAAATGAATCTGTGACTGTTGAAGCAATGATGCGAAGATCATTTAAGGAATCACCAGTAGTTAAAAATCAAAATATTTATAAAATACAGTTGCAAAAGATAGAAAATGAACTATCAAAATTACCACCTTTAACAGATTTACAGAAAAAACTCTCTGACTTTTATCGAGTAGCTGTTGAGTATCTAGAATATCTCAAATATCTAAAACCCTATTTTTATGAGACACAAAAAAAAGCAGTAAAAAATTTAACACCTGGTAGGATATTGTTGATATCATATGAAAATCATTATAACAAATTAGCTCTGTTATTAGCAATTGTCCAATGTAAAGGTAGTCAACAATATAGAGTATTAGTTCTTAAAAATTCTGATGTATCAAATCCTTCTGAGGAAACATTATCCCCAGAAAAGTGTCAAAAAGCTAGGAAATCCGACAAATGGTACGATATTGTTGCTTTAACGAAAAAAGAAATATTTGTGCCAGTTGGAATTCCATCAGATGAAGTATTAACTATAGCTGCATGGAACATATTGGAAATAACAAATTGTCAAATTAAAATAGATTGTACTTTAGTTTTGGCAAATTGGGAAAAAAGACAAATACCAAGATTTAAGTAAGTAGGGCAAATTTAAATTGAATTCTCTTTAGTTAGTTTATAATTTAGAAAATATCTAAAATCTTGAATTATTTTTAGAAATGAACCTCCTAGTCAGACATATCAAACAGCTATGCAAGAATTAATGATATTATCTCTAAATGCTTTTCGTGATTCTTCTGTTCTAAAACCATATTTGGAAATGAAAATGAATTATGATGTCGATAGAAAATTATATTATTTATTCGATTTAAAGGATGCTGTAGATAATGTAAAATGTACAGAGATGATAAATTTCGAAGAACAATTTGAAGTTGTGTATAAACGAAGTGAATTGGAAAGTGAAAAAAATAAACTACAACTAAAACTTAGCGATGAAGGATTAAGTTTATATCCTGAATATGCAAATGCTGTTGCACTTCTTAAAGATTTAGGATATATAGATAATGACGAGAGAGGTTTGTTTTTTCATAGAAATTATAAACATCAATTCATAATATATAATAATTTTGTTTTGTGTTTATAGTTGCATTAAAAGGTCGAGTTGCTTTACAAATGGGAAATAACGAACTATTAATCACTGAGCTCATTCTTAAAAATGTGTTAACTGTACTTCAACCAGCTGAAATAGCAGCATTATTATCTACTTTAATATTCCAACAACGAACTGATATTAAACCAAGTCTAACACCAGAATTAAAGAAGGTATATATACTTTCTCAATCCAAATTAACTGTTTACTGTAATATTTAAAAATGTTTTTTTGTTACAGAGTTGTGAAATAATAAAGCACATACACACTGAATTAGAAGCTTTAGAACAGCATTATCAGTTAGCAACATTACAGCCACTAAATTTTGGTTTAGTAGAAGTAGTTTATGATTGGGCACAAGCGAAATCATTTGCCGAGATTATGGAGAAAACAGATGTACAAGAAGGGATTATAGTACGATGTATTCAACAATTAAGCGAAACATTACGAGATGTAAAAAATGCAGCCACTACTATAGGTGATCCTGTTTTAAAGGAAAAAATGGAAGAAGCCTCTACTGTCATTAAAAGAGATATTGTTTTTACTGCATCCTTGTATACTCAAAATTAATCGTTTAACAAAATCTATGTATAATAATTTATTTAGATGTGTAAATGTGCAGAATATTTTTTACTTTGATCAATGAAAGACATGTATATTTTTATAATTTATATACTATTCATGAAGTATATGTTGTCTAAACAATGTACAGTATAATATTTCTTTACCATAAATGTAAAGTGCTGGGATTCTGTTTGGTCTGAAAATTATATTTCTTTATGTGTAGATATACGATAAGAGTACAAAGAAGAGGAATAAAATTGTTATTAATATTGGATAATTCTTTTAATTTACAATGCTTACTGGTAAAAAATATTATCCTATATTTTATTTTCAGATGTTACAGAGCACGTTGATCTGTGTTATTAAGATTTCCTTGACCTTTATTTGTCTCAGAAATGCAAGTCCATTGTCCTTCTGTATTTTCACGCCAAAGAGATACTTTATTATCTCCACCACTAACAGCTAATATACCTCCAGTTAATGACCAACTAACATTCCAAATGACATCATCAAAAACATTGAGGATGGTTGGTGTCCAACTGGTATAATCATTAGAAGTCCATACAATTACACGACGATCTTGCGAACATGAAGCCAAAGCTGCTTTGGACGGTCCAACTGCAGGTGCCCATGCAACATCCCTTACCTGTAAGAAACAAAATATTTAATTACTGGTTTTCTTTAATTTATATTTAACAATTTAGATTTAAAAACTGGCATATGCATTACCCAATCACTATGTGCTTCGAGTTTGTCTTCTTCAATCCATCTATCACCTTCTTCTTTCCAAATTTTAACTAAATTATCACAACCTCCAGTAGCTAATCTCTTTATTGGACCATTCTTTTGTGTTCCACTAGAATCAAAGCTGGGTTCTATAGCAGGGCACCAACTCACCGCATTGCATCCAATGGTATGAGCATTTGTAATCTTTTGTGTATCCCATGTATCTCCATTATTAATAAGTATAGACACTGAACCATCAGAGCTACCACAGGCTAAAATCAAGCCAAATTCATGTGGTGCCCAAGCTACTGAATTGACAGAGGAATCATGACCATTATGTTCGTAAATCTTGGTCCATTCTCCCAATTCTTTCCAAATGATTACTTTTCTATTACAAGGAACAATACAAATAATTTTAAAACAAAATAATTTGCCCCAATATATCACAGTGTGAAAAAGAAATATTTTAAGTAACAAAGAATTTTTACAAATTGTAACATACCGATCGTAACTACAAGATGCTAAAAGATTTCCAAATTTAGGATGTGCCCAAGTAACCTGCCATACGGGACCAACATGACCCTTAAGATCAGCTACTAAACTTTGTGATCCATTTTTTAAATCAAAGATTTTAACCGAATTGTCACTGGAACAAGTTGCTAACCTCAAACCGTAATAATCCATTTCTGCATCATGAATCATGTCTTCATGACCAGTGTCAACCGTATTTAAGACAGATACCATTTTTAAGGCACTTTTGATTCAAATTTTTCTGACTGTAACTTAAAAATTATCAAATAACATACAATTGCAAGGATGTCGAAGAGGTTATGTTGTCCAGTGTCTGTCACTTACGTGGAAGCATGTGCGCACTAGCGGTTAACATGATTTTGCGCAACTTGTGTGTAAATGTCAGTGCTGCTGCATCCAAGAACTAAATACAAATCTTTTCTTGCGATTTTATCGAAACTGTGAACAATATGAATGTTGATTCTATATTTATTATAAAACATTAAAATTTTGTTTAATTTTAATCTTTCTTACGTGGTATGTAATGATTTGTTTTTGTTTATTTCAATTCCTACACGAAACTCGAATTAAATATTACTATTTCTATTCATTTACTACAACAATATATAAATAATTTATACATTTTTGCGATGCGTATGTATGTATTTCATTTTAATTTTCTTAATTTGTAGATCATCCTATATTTCCAAAAATCGGAGTGAAGTCGTATTTTGAATGAATAGCAAATGATTTAAATTTAATATGGGCAATTAAGTTCATGATCAGTTTCAAAATGGTCGTATTTAAATATGTATTTAATCTCTCATCAAAGAAAATAAAGCATGAACTCATCGTTCGTGCAATACGCTACTGGACAATGCAGTTGTTCTTTTATTTGCCCTTAAATTGGTAAAGGATTTTAAATTTGTTCGTTTTGTCTATTTAATGAAATTGGTTATGTTGATTCAAGTATTTAAATAACATAATCAAAGTATTTTATTTCAGTATTAAAAGAATTTTTGTCAGATGCATTCATAATTTAATTTATTATAATGATGCTCCATTTCTAATAACAATTAATATTGCACGAGTCAACATAGAAATTTCACTTTGTTTTGTCAAATCATATTTTCAGTTATACACATGTATGCAAATGTAGAATATTTATAACATGAAATACAAAATGAGCTGTATACGAGCTAATAACTAGCATAATATGTTAATCATTATGAATTGATTTAATCTAAATCCATTATCGTTTAATTTAGAAATATTTTCACTCAAATTACCAACTCATCTTAATACATGTTGTATCAACGTTCAATTTCACGGATATTTGAGCGACATCCATCGTTAATTTATCCCAACTTTAGCTGCCGGAAACACGCCATTCGGGACACATGTATATCGCGTGTAACGTGCTTAACGCACACAAATGTCATTAGTTCATCGTAATTCACGAAACTACGAAGCAGCATAACATGTATGTTGGTGCAAGCTCGTCCCTTCCGGCATGCCGATAATGACAAGGCTTCTGGCGTTACGTTGATAAGATGGATAATTGATATATGTCCCCCGAGACATACATACATACATACATACATATACGAATGCATTTCCCTGATATATATATATATATATATACAAGCATGTGTATTTGTACGAAACATGGTGGAGCATTATAAAATTTTCAATATGCTGCACGGTTGAGTGACGATTACTGTTACCGCTAATTACATTTACTCGTACAGGAATGAAATCACGACTGGAATTGTTTATTGATCGAGTAGTAGGCAGCCCATAGATCTATTGATGAATAATGCAAGACGAAACGAATTTGATAGTTCTCTTTTCTTACATAGATCTTCAACAGCAATCTTCAAATTGTACAAAAGTATGTTGAACATTTATTATAGGAAATTTGTTTCTATATGTTGTAAGTGTTATGTGGCTCATTTTGAAATTTCATTAGCACGAACTGAGACAGTTAATGGTATCAAATTTCGAGTTACTGTTTAAGTTACTTTTCAGATTGTCTTTACCACAGCGTTTACATTAAAAGCTGTGGAGAACATAATGTATCAGGGCTCTGAAAGTTTGCTACTCGTACCTGGCACAGGTGTTGCACATATGAAGCATTCATGAACTTTTCTTCATTCAACTGAAACTGCATTTACCACTAATGTATAGTGGATTACACAGCGTTGCTGTGTAACGTGATTTTGTCGCGTTGCTCTTTTAGTAACAGAACGGATCAACATTAAAAATGTCGATCGTTTATTGGAATTGTATTATTTAAGTTTCGCAGGATGCTGATGAAAATGTAGGTCTGTCCGTTTTCCTGATTTTTATGGGTGAATCGTGAAAGATATATAATGTTGTAACTCTATGTAGGTTTATGTAAGAAATAACGTTCGTGATTCGAATGAAATATTTATGATTTACGTTCATCAATTTCATTAAAACAAAACAATATTCTTTTCTGTTTCAGCCAGATAATTAGAATAACTTTTCACTATCCAAACGGAAACGAATTATTGAAAAGTAAATATCCAAGGAAAAAGAAATAATGACGAGGATAATTTTTTAGCCAATTAACCATTTATATTAATCTCTAATATTATTTAATCTGTAATCAAAGATTTCTTCAAAGCATCGTGTAACTTTTCTTAATAATTTTCAGCAGGAAAATGAAGAAAATCAACGCAGTTAATAGCCAACAAAAAAGAACACAAGTGGCTTCGATATACCAATAACGGTCGACGCTGTAGTTTTCCCAACTTGTTAGTCCAACAACCGAAAAATTTGACCTCGTGCTCGAGAGAGTGGCCGGTTTGTACGGAAATTCAGGGCGAAGGTTCCAGAGGTTCCGGTTACGATACTCGCTACAGGTCGTCGCCGTGTATACTTTAGTATCGCGGCAAGATCCGGGCGAAGGAGTATCAGGAAGAATGGAAAGGGGAATGTCGGTCACTGGGCCTTTCCTTGCGATGACGGTACTCTGTTTAGCGCCTCGGGGCCACCTAGGAATGTTGGAACAGCACACAACTTGAAACGTCTCTCCTTTTCTCGCGGCTGCTTTTCTTTCTCTCTTTTTCCTTGTACCCTCCTACTTCTCTAAATTGGTAACATTCGCGTCTGTGTCTAATGCGGCGTACATTTTCTCTTGGAATCGCCATGAGATAAATTTGATGCACAAAACGATGCAGCCTGATCTGCAGTTGATCGAACGCGTACAGATTATGTTCTACGTATCGTTTATATCTTGGTTCGTGATTTATTTACGTGGTCAAAAGTTGTCGTTCAGGGGTAGAATTTTACAATTAATATTTTATTCTCTTTGGGAATATTTACGTTCGATGAATATTTCATTACAAAGCATACACTCAAATTGGTAATATTTTGACAATTTAACAAAATCGAATACGTTGAATTTTAATTCAAGTATCGTTTAGTCAAACGTCAATTTCCTTCTCTTTCTTACCTCTTCTTTATCTCTATATATATTGAAGTAAACCCGTTTCCCTGTGCATTTCAATATTACCATGCTTTGGCATGCCTAAACACACAGGCGCAGCCTTTTTAATTCTAGCCAACCTCAAAGCGCCCCCGTTGCAGTTTATTTACCGCTGCCTCCGCAGGTGTTATACTTTTTCGGTAGGTTACGTAAAAACCGTAAGAGTTCAAGCTCGTATTTAAGTAACTAGTGCCTTTTAAAATCTCCAGTCTAGCTTCCCGACGAATTTTCCCGCTTTTTTTCGTAGAAAATTCTAAAATGTGTTGCAATCTTTTCAGCGTGGACGGTAACGCGCAGAGAAAAAGAAAAAGTGGTCTACAGGAGGAGGAGGAGGAAAAGAAGGTTTAAGAAACGTTTACACTTTTCAAACAGCGCCTCGTCTCGTTTACACGTTTCGAATGATGAGGCCGGCGAACGAGAGCAGTGGACGACAGCACGAGAAACGACAAAGCGAAACGGCAATGGGAAACGGGCGCGGTTCATTGCATATTTCCATGGCAGTCGAGGCCGAGGATATCGCGCGAGTACCGTAAAGGTGAAGAAGCCGGTCTCCGCCGGATCGAATTCCGCGCGTACCAGCTCGAATCACATTAATTTTCAGCGTGCGCGCTAGAATTACACCGGATCCTTTTGGTTGAGAAAAATGGAAGGCAAGAGAGATGGGCGGTGCTCAGTTTTACCAGTGCCTATCTCCTTCCTCTCTCGCTTTCTCACCATCGTGCTGGCTCCTCGCCCTCCCTGCGGATGCAGCCGCTGCAACTGCACTTTTTCGTGTCTACAGGCAATACCACGCGGAGTACCGTAAAGTTGGAGGGAGCAATACGTTCCAGAATCGAATTCCGGACGTGCCTGTACGAGCCACACGAATTTTTCTCAAGAAAAATTCCTCCCGTTCGGTATCACTGCTTTTGAATAAAAAAGGGAATGAAGAAGAGAGGGAGAGAGTGAAAGACTGAGAAAGAGAGAGAGAGAGAGAGAGAGAGAGAGAGAGAGAAATATGAAGTATCAAAGTAGGAGAGATCAAGAGTCGTGATACAAGAAGAGATCGAATCTTTCTTTCACAGGCAAAGGCCGTTGACTGCGACGCCGTATAATTCCGGATGGTTTTGGGTCATGTGGCCGATCGATGACCCGTTTCATCTATTATTGAAATGTAAGCATCGAACGAAACATCATCAGGTTTTACCTTTCCGGCTGACGGCGACAGGACCTAACGTTATGGAAATTGGCCGATCTGCAGATATTCTGCAGTTTGTCTGTGCGTGATGGAGGAACGGTTGGCGTGATCGATATTTTAGACAGGCTGGTATGTTGCATAGTGACAAATCGTTCCGGCAACGTTGTCAGTTGACAGAGCATTGTGTCGCGAATAAAGTATTGCGTTAAACTTTATTTGTAATAAACGAGGTACGAGGATCGTTTAAAACAGGAAGCGAATATCTCGCGCGAGACGCTACACCCAGATAGATATAGGCGAACTTATAAAAATTTCTACCAAAGTTTCATTCGGCTGAAAATGAAAAAAATTAACTTATAAACTTCGGTAGTTTTAACGAGTTGGAATATTTTTAAAAGCCACGATCTCAGCTGCAGGAATTACCGACCATCGTATTTCTTTCTGGCTGCGTCTCGATGAATCTCGCGGAACACGGATTCTGTTCATGAAAAAAGTAAACGGTTAGTTGACCAACTAAATCCGACAGAGAGACCAATTAAAAAACTAATTTCACTCGCTATTACGAAATGCTTGAATTCAACTAGAAAAACCTCTTGCTGTTATAATTTTCATTCGTCGAGTATAAAGACTCTAAAGAAGAAAGGAAAGGAGCTAGAAATCAAAAAATGTAGATCGAAAGCAACACTAAAAAAAAAAAAAAAGAAAGGAAAAACAAATTAAATTCTTCTCCGTTTGTTTAACCGCTGTGCTTAATTCAACAAATTTTTTTTCCAGAGAAAATTCATCTTGGCAATCCAACGTCAGCGAAATTTTCGATGTAAAATCCATCGAAACCAGCAGGATTGGCGTTGCACGTTTCCTGGTGTTACGCCGGTGTCCAGAGACTGGCGTACGTCGACAGGGCCGTAGAATTCTAGAAGGGGGTCATCATACGAGGCCGGCTCCGCCGAACGCACCGAGCCAGGACAGTATACGAACGTCATTCGGCGCGGACTGAGCGGCGAAAGGCGCGTTACCTGCGAGCGGTACCGCAATTTCGAATCCGAAGTCTGCTATCTCTCGTGTCTGTTTCCCTCTTCGCCAACGGGAATTCTCTGCTTTGCGATTCAGTGCGCCGATCACCGTGTCAATCTAAACGGTATTCACCGATTTCTACGTTGAGCCAGTGCGAGGAAGAAATACAGGAAAAAAAAAAAGAAAAGAAAAGAAAAGAAGAAAGAAAAGGACAGCACACGCACACACACGTGCGCATACACACAGGCACAGATACATACCGAGGAAGATCCACGGAGGATTGTTTCACGGAGAACGGAGGATTAATTGGCTGCACGTTTCCACGCGTGTGAATTATAAAAATCGAGGTACGTGTACACGAATTGATTTTTTTCACTTCGTTTTTTTTTTTTTTTTTTTTCAACCAATTCGCTCGATTTTTCATTGCGTGAACGCTGCGAAATGTCGCGTTCAGTGAGATCGACATCCGGTTGATTGGAACTGCGCTTCCTTTCCATTTTTTTCTTTCTCTCTCTCTCTCTCTCTCTTTTTTTTTTTTTTAATTGGAAAAGCTTGTCCGGTATTTATCCTTTATCGAGTCTTTAAATTTCCAAGGCGAACGCTGTTTCATTTCGTTCTCCATTCAACTTGGAAATTGCGTTTCCTTTTTCAAATTTTGAATTCAAGCGGATCGCGTTTCGTCGACTTGTGTATGGGACGAACATACGTGATTTTGCACGACAGATCCTATCCTGGCTTTTAATAGACAGAGAGCTTCTTGTACCGCGGTTTATTCGTTGTTTTATTTACGGAAAGAGATACTCCTTCTGAGTTAAGAGTGCAGCCAGCACTTTGCGAGACCGTGAACCACCAGTGACTCGTTTGCGTGTACATATGTGTATACTCTGTGCACGTACATACGTATGTGTACTTATCTTCTTATTCTGGTTGATTAAAAATGCCTCGGTAAAGCTTGATGAATTTTCATCACGCGCGAAAGCTGCTGCCTCGCCCCGCGTTTCTGGAAAACGCCGGCTTCATCCGTGGGATGTTCATTAAATTTGCATTATCCTCCTGGAACAATTTCTTTCCACGTTGGAGCCCTGCAATTTCTTAACCATACATCAATTATACATGTACCTACTCACCGAACTTGTTTTTCCCCTCTATTCTACGGTTAAAGCCATACTTTTCTTACCATCTGCAAACGGCGTAGAAGCTCTTTTCAAAAACTCTGACGCAAAGAGAGGTTGAAAAGGAAACATTCCTCGTACGTACGTGGACGTGTACTTTATTTCACCTATTTATTATCGCCGTGTAGATTCTAATTTTCTCTTTATCAAAAGCTACTTTATCAAAAAAGCTTCTCTCTCAATATCCCGGAAATATTACTTCGGATAAGCGTCGTTAAAACCAATTGTAAAGAAAGTGTTGAATAAATTGAATTTCTTATCTCGAGATAAGCATCGCGAATATTCTTCCACGTAACAGCTACGCATTAGGAGCGTCCAAGCCGAAAATTAACCTCCGGCCATTTTCATTTATAATCCCGCAACGCCCGCAATTACAGCGTTTCTTGTTCTGCGAACGCTTCGGGAAAAACCTACGGGATAAACCGCTCGGGATCACGTGCACGCCATTTTCTCCATTTACTTATTATCGTTCCCTCTTTTTCCCTCCCCCCCCCTCGCTCGTTCTCCCTTTCTTTTTTTTCTCTTTTTCTTTTTTTTTTTTTGTTCCCCTCCCCAGCGACGAAATTACAACGACGAAATTGCAAATGCATTTTCTTGCAAAGGCCGCGCGCCGTGAAATTCATGTGAATCGTGTGGCGCGTAAATCACGACGATAAGTCCGACCGAATCACCGAGTCAATTAATTCTTGTGAAATCCACCCATGAGCCACCAGCGGCTGGGCATGTCCACTTGTGCGTGCACTTTCTAAAACGCCAAGAATGCAATTTCTACGTATGTACACATACGTACGCTCGTGAGTGTCCGAGCATTTTCTTCTTCTTTTTTTTTTTTTGTTGCGGCAATAGCGTTTAAATTTCAGTTCACGCAAATTAGATGGTTAAAACGGTTGAACCGACGAAGCAAAGCTTGCAGAAGTGGAAAAATGAATGTTTCACGAAAAAACGCAAGCTTTAATTCATATATATGTATCTCCAAAAAATTTATCTCCATTAAGTTGTACGTTTCACGGGATATCTCCGTTTAATTGGAAGTCTGCAAACAATAGGAGATACTCTGTGGAAAATTACGAGTCGCTTTTTGTTACTTTGGCAGTTTTTGATACTAATTGGGAGTAACGCTTTATTACCTTCTCATGGTTAAAAATTAAACATTCCTGTTAAAAGCTATCGTTATCAACCAATGCAATCGATAAAATTACTATTAAATTAAATTAAAAATCTTATTAAAGATCGCCTATTGAAAAGACATAGACAATAATTGATTTTTGTAATTGAGACACTTGTCTCGTCGAAAATAACCGAGTGTCTGGACTTCACTACTTGTTGGTATATATGTACAGCGTTTTCGTGGAAATTCATCATCAGCGTTTCACGCGAGAGAACACTTCTTTCTTTTTTTTTTTTTTTTTTTTTTTTTTTTTTTTTACGGTGTTTCACGTACTTACGTCTCTCTGCACGAAGATGTGCCTCGAGTATTAATTATTCCCGCTTTCTTTGCATTCCCGCCTCGCCATCGCTTACGTGCGTCTTTTGTTAAGGCTGTACTCGCTCGCTGGAATCGATGCTGTTCAATAGCGAATGTAATCTTCCGTTCGAGGCTGTTCGAAATTGCGACTGATTCTACGTGTTAGGAATCGAAAGAATCGCGTCGTTAAATTATTGGGAGCTTGTTAACGATCTTCCGCGACGCGCACCAAGCTCGCGAAGTTTGTGTTTTATCTTTTGGCAATTAATAGCGACCTTTTTCGGATCGCTAGGAATTCGAATCGTTCATCTTGATCTTTTTCCACTTCGCCGAATCTCTGTCACTTGCGTTATCTTAGACAGATGACAAATTCTGATAACCATAAATGTACGAAAATTCGTTCAGACAGTGTAAATTATTATATAAATTATATATAATTATATATATTATATAAATTAGATATCTATTTATATAAATATATATAATAATATATATATATATTTATATAAATAGATATTTATATCTATATTTAAAATAAAATTATAATATATAATTTATATAATAATTTATAATATATATATAATATTATATATATATATATATTTACATAAATAGATATCTATATCTATATTTAAAATAAAATTAAAATTTTATATAATTTATATAATAATTTATAATGTAAAATATGTGAACGCGCGAAGAAGCTCAATGGAGAAACGATAACAAATAGCAATATCTTTGACCAAACTCCAACAGAGAAATCTGCATCCCCTCCTGAATATCAAAATCTTGAATATTGCTAATTTATTTCGTTTTCGAAAAAAATAAGATACACTTGTCTCACCCGTGACTCTCTCGTGTAAAATGCCATAACATTTAAGGGGATAGTGTGAACTTTTGAAAAAAATCGATTTTTTTTCTTTTTTGGATATTCTTAAGGGACGTAGCTTCAAAAATAAAACTCTGTAACGTTGCATGTGAACTCCTAAAATTAAGGTAGTTATGATTGTTTGAAGGACGTGACAACCAGCGTCATTGTTACCTCAATATTACTAAACTTTAAAGATATTTTTCTGGAAATGTTTTTCAGAACGGTGTCCATGATATCTCAAAATCCACTTGACCAATTGACTCAAAATTTTGTGAGTGCGCGTTTAGAACATGTGTGACTATAGGCCCTACCAGAATCAACCAAAGAATCTCATTTTTCATATTTTTCTAGGCTTCCGAAGTTTAACAAAAAAAAAACATGCAAGAATCGATAATCGAACTTCGAAGTATCGCCACTTTTTTAATTACCAACTTTTTTCTTTTGTTTTGGTACCTGCTACAGCCAAACTCATGCCAATTAAGCAACACTCACGTTTTTCTATTTCCGACAAGCAGAACGGCCGGAATCATGGACACCGTGAGTCGACCCTTTTTTTAAAAGCGACTGTGTTTGAGAGTATGCCACTAATTTTCACTTTTTTTTGTCCCAAAAAAATTTTAAATCGTCGTTGAAATACGTAGAAATAAACCTTGTCAGTTTGATTGCAAATGGTACAATAGTTTCTTGCAAAAAAATTCCCCAACAAAGTTAAAAAAAAAAAAAAACACGCACTTCACACTTAGAATACTCTTAACGCATTTTTCTTCAAGCATCGTTTCTTCGTTTCTTCGTTTATAAAAGGAACGCAATCATTGAAAAATCATCGATCAACACGAACGCACGTGAACATCTAGGTTTCGTTCACCGAACCAAGTGGAATGATCTTGCCGGAAATAAATTTGCACGATGCAGAGGTCGAAATTTAAAGCGGCGCAGACGCTCGCTCGTATCAATGATTGTTTAAATGGGAAACAATTACTATTCTCATCCCGGGATTTCGATCCGGTAGGAATTCCGCTTTGCTATTTATGATACTCGCGTCTGGAATTACGCCACGGTTAAAATCAGCTACGGTTGCAAATTTTCAACTATGTAATTGCCCAGGCGAGTAATTGACGATTGACGATGCCTCGAGAATATCCTATCATAAACGCTTCGTCGAGTTTTTCCTGTCGTTCCGCGTTTTGTAATATTACAAACTTAACCGACATTGACACGTCGAACAAAACCGAAGCTCGACGCTGCAATTGTCATAATAATCAACCGTATCTCTTCTTGAATCAACTGACATTCCGTTCTCATTATTCTCGATGTTTGTTTCATTTCATTTGTTTATACGTAAATATTCTCGTGATAAAATGATATTTACACAAGTGATTCGGTCGTGACGAATTACCGAAGGAATAATTCTCCGTTTATTTTCAACGGCTGCACAGTTCCCGTGCTGCGCGAGTTTCCACAAAACAAACGTAATCGATATTTGTCAACGGAGAGAGATATTAATAATTGTTTCACTACTGAATCATTCTCTCGTTTGCATTAATTTTTACTAACAAGTAATCCCGCGTTTTGTTTTCGTTTCGGTTGAATTCGTTTCGCTCTAATGGCACTCTAATTAAAAGCAAAGCGACAGTCTTTCGATCATTTTGTGTTGTGATTTTTTTTGGTTTAACGTGCTCGTTGTGCAGAGAAAAAAATTCGCTATTTATTGTAAAATTTAGGTAAAAAAAATATTTAATGTTAAATAATAATGCAATATTAAATAAATAAGTAATAAATAATAAATATTAAATATTAAAATATTTAATATTAAATAATAATGTAATATTATATATATTT